TTCCCCTCAAAAACAACCAGGTTTCCCCACAACTAGCTTCAACCTGATTTTCTTTTCCAATTACATTTGCTTTCATGCCACTTTGAGCCCTAGACTGACCAGGACATTTTGTTCTTCCTTGCTTGCAGTCTTAGGGATGGTCATAGCTCCAAGGCCACTGTCTTGCTGTCAGAGAAGCTTTTGAGGTCTCAGAGCAGATCTCTCTTCATGAGAGAAGGCAGTGCAGGACGCTGCACTGGGATGGGACCCAAAAAGCCCTGGATTGTCAGAAGGTCTATCCAGGAGTTTGCTCTGTCTCCCTCCTGCAGGACTTTCTGGGATGCGATGGTGGAGTTATTGACTGTTGATGGAAGTTGAGTTGAGTGTTGTTCATCTCAGTGGCTGGAAGTCCTCCTCATGCCCAGCACTGTAGGTTAGCCATGGAGAAACATTTCCGATTGCGCTCCGCAGGGCGCCAGCCACAGCAAGTATTTTTGGTGCTGGTGACAGCGTTTGCCCGAGGCTCTGTCTGTGTGCAGCTGGTAAAGTCCATGACTGTATTTCCTTTCCAATTGTGTTTGAAATTGGCTGGGTCATGATCACTGCCCTGTTTATACTGTGCTGCCTCGATTTGCTCCATGTGGAACTTCCACTCGTCCACCCAGTCGTCACCTGCCAGAGGGACTGGAGCATGAAGGGAGGACAGTGATCTGCCAGCTAGGAAGCAACTGCTCTGTAGCAGTGCTCCCTTCTCATCTCCTGGTTGTGAGCTTTGAACACTAGAATGATTTCTGCTGCAGCTACCAAATAAGGGAGAGATTAACTGTGCCAAAGGGGTCTGCAGAGAAGGACAAAAGGAGGAAGAAGAGAAGGTTTCAAGGCTTGATGTAAGGGTTTGGATTTAGAGATGCTGATCCTGGCTTCTTTACTGGATGATGATAGACAAAGTCCCCACCTCTCTCAGATCCTCTGTTTTCATGCATGTTAAACATTTAATGTCACTGAAGAGATGCAATGCTTGAATTTATTAATCTGCTTTCAAAGTGCTCAGGGATGCTCTGGTGGAAGGTAATGTAGGGAACAGAGCAGACAGAGTTTGTTTAAACCTGCAGGTCCAAAAGAGAAGAAGCAAAAAATGATGCTAGTAACTTGCAGCTGAAACCCAGCTTCTTCTCCTCGTCCCAGAGAAGCCCTGCAGTGTGTCCTCCTTGATCTTTATCTGCCTCCCCTAAGCAGCCACCTGGTAGGAAAAGCCAATTGAATCGGCTGGTGGATTCCCCCTCAGTTGTGGCAGTGGCTTTGAGCCAGGAGGCTCTCTTGAGGGCTGCTGGCTTTCAAAACCTCTCCTGAGTTTGTAAGCATGGAGTAAAACTACCTGCCAAGCCAGTGAACAAGAAGTGACTCTCTGATCCATTTGGGGCCCCATGGCTTGGGATTTTTGGATCTGCTGCTGCTCCTCCCCGAGTGCCTTGCTGCTCCTGCACTTACACTTATGTCTGCAAATATGTGGCTTATTAAACGATCTGCTGGGTTTGTCTCTCACGGTGGCTGCAGGCTGTGTCAGCAGCAAAAGGACAAGGTGGATGATTTTCTAAAGGAATGCAAAGTAGACACCAGTCACCAAGAACACCTTTCCCTTCTCTTCTGCATCTTCCAGAGAGAGAGGGCAAAGGTGCAAGGAGATCCCATGCTGTCCTCTGATGACATTTGCACCATTGAACCAGTGGTAAGCAATAGCTGAGAACCTCCCTTCCTCCTCCTCCTCCTCCCTGAATGAGGTCACTTGACAGATTCCTGCCTCAGCTGGCTTGATGTGCTGAGAGAGGAAAAAATGGATTTTTGGTGAGGCTGGGAGAGTTTGTTGCAAAAAGCATTTCTGCCCTGCAGGCTCCTGCTAGGTGGCAGGAGCCTGCCTAAGGCTGAGCTCTGCTGCAAGGGTTTGACATGGAGAGTGCTCGGTGTGTGTCCTTGCAGTGTCCAGAGGGATCAGCTATTGTAGGTAAGAGTGTACCTTACATGTGGTGTGTGGGCATTAACAGAGGGTGTTGGAGGTCACATATTGACCTAAGCATGCAATGGTTCTCTGTGGAAAGGAGGCCAAATTCAGCCCAAAATTAATCATGGAAATGCCAATCCCTTCCTGTAACCTGGACTTATATCATGTCTGAGCCTCCCTTCCAGTGTCACCTGTGAGCCTCAACACAAGGCTGGTGGGTTTAAATGGACTTTTTGTCTTCTACTGCACACAGGTACAGGAAACCTTTTACTTTTCTGTTTATGCAAGCAAACCCCCATGTCCTTCCATCAACCAGAGCCCTGATTCTCAGTATTTGCATGGTGTGAGATGAAGAATGCCTGCTGTCTGTGAGCCTCCCTTCCAGTGTCACCTGTGAGCCTCAACACAAGGCTGGTGGGTTTAAATGGACTTTTTGTCTTCTACTGCACACAGGTACAGGAAACCTTTTACTTTTCTGTTTATGCAAGCAAACCCCCATGTCCTTCCATCAACCAGAGCCCTGATTCTCAGTATTTGCATGGTGTGAGATGAAGAATGCCTGCTGTCTGTGCAAAATCCGCCTAAGGCTGAGCTCTGCTGCAAGGGTTTGACATGGAGAGTGCTCGGTGTGTGTCCTTGCAGTGTCCAGAGGGATCAGCTATTGTAGGTAAGAGTGTACCTTACATGTGGTGTGTGGGCATTAACAGAGGGTGTTGGAGGTCACATATTGACCTAAGCATGCAATGGTTCTCTGTGGAAAGGAGGCCAAATTCAGCCCAAAATTAATCATGGAAATGCCAATCCCTTCCTGTAACCTGGACTTATATCATGTCTGAGCCTCCCTTCCAGTGTCACCTGTGAGCCTCAACACAAGGCTGGTGGGTTTAAATGGACTTTTTGTCTTCTACTGCACACAGGTACAGGAAACCTTTTACTTTTCTGTTTATGCAAGCAAACCCCCATGTCCTTCCATCAACCAGAGCCCTGATTCTCAGTATTTGCATGGTGTGAGATGAAGAATGCCTGCTGTCTGTGCAGTGCAAAATCCCTTCTCATCTTGGAGTAAACCCTAGAATAATCCCAACATCTGCTTTCTTTTAATAGGTTAAACTATTTTTTTGTTTGTTTTCAAGGAGGGGGATCATGTTCGCTTCTTGGTTACTCCCGTAGCCCATCTAAGGCTGAGAGCTGCCAGTGTCAACACAACATGGTTTCACACCACTGTAGCTGACAGCAGCATGATGTGACCAAGAGCTTGTGTCAGAGCAGTAGGAATATTGTAGAGATTGGGAGCTGATCAGCTGAGCATTAGGAACATCCTGCAGTGTGTCAAGCTGGTTTTGGAGTATGTCCCTTGGCTCCTGCTTCATTACAGCAGGACTGTGTCTCCACAACTAGCTTAACCTGTTTCTCTGCTCCTGAAGTACACTAAGGTGAGGTCCAGAAGTCTGGCTGACCACAGTACAGAGTCCTGGTACTCCATGTAGTGATGGACAGGCATAAAGTGTGGCCTGGCCTCAAGTCTTGAGTGGAAACCTTTCCTAAATGGCTGTGTTAATGTTACACAGTTTGCTCTAGGACTGAATATAAGTGGGCTACCACAGGGGTCTCTCTCCTTCAGTTTTGTCCAGCATTATCAATCTTTTGATTTCCTTTAATGCCATTATTTACGGAACAGTTGGTTTCACATTTGGAATTTTGCTCCTGTCTGTCTTCATCCCACCCTGGCATATGGGTGTTGTACAACAAATGATAGTAAATATCTTCTCTTTATCAAATACAGAATCTAAAAATCCACTGCCACTGACTTCTACAACCTTCTGGGGGGTGATGGCCCTGCAACTTTTAGCTTGGACAGAAACCCTCCTTGTGCTGGAGGTGCCCATAAAGCTGGGACCTTGCTGCCTCTGATCTTCTGGCCCACAGCTGCTCTCTTCTTCCTACCCATCACCTGTGGTGTCTGGGAGTACCCTATAGAAATAATCAAAGCCTCGTAACAAGTGACTGGAGGAAATAATTGCTTCGAGATGTTAGGCAGCTGGTGGAGGGATAGTAGCCTTGGAAAGCCTTTCTGGGTTTGTGCAGAAGCTCTGCTGTGTAAGTGGGCCACTAGCTGCCAGTATTGCCAGGTGCTGCTATCTTTAGAAGATGCAGCAGGTCACTGTAGTCTGTAATGGGTTAACTTGCTGGTGAACATTGTAACAAAAAAGAGAAGGCAGGGATTTTTGGAATCACCATGTGACCATGAACATTTTGAGCAGCCATCCAAGCCTGTGGGAAACAAACCGTTATGCAACTCTGACTTGCCGACTGCATCTCAAATTGTGTTTTATTTCTGCAAACACACATGATGGGTCAGCAGAAGCAGCTGTGCTAGAAGCCCAGGTGGCTACCAAAGGAGACAGTACTTGCTTTATGCTGCATCCTTCCCACCACAGCTTAGCTGTAAGTCACACTGCAGACACGTGGGAGCTGACTCCTTGGAAATGGAAACCAGAGCAAAGGGAGGACAAGGATTTGTTACCATTGCACTGACCTTGACGAGTCATCACTGTCCTGTCATTGCCTGGTCATGACTCCCCAGTGTTATGTGTTAACTCTGAGCCAATGGAAGTGGTCTCCAAGATGGTTGGGTTATGGATCTGCTGCTGTTGTTGATCCTGAGGTTGGGCCCAGAAGGAAACGGCATTGTTTGTTCCTGCAAATCTCCACCTCAGCTGGGGAAACTGGTCCCCATCCAAAGGAGAGGTTACTGCCAAGCACTTCAATGCTTGGCAGAAGACACCATGTCCAGTGGAAGCTCTGGTCCATCCTACAGCTCATAGTGAGTTCAGTTATTTATGGAAAGAGGCAGATGTTTACTTTGGCACTGCCTTTCTGAGTGTCCTGAACTAACAGGCTGCGCTTTGGGTGTCATTGTGGTGCTTGTGTTGCCAACTCTGTCTTTGTTTTTCTGTTTGCTCTGAGCAGTGATTTCCTTTCCATGGATTGCTTTCCCCCTCTGCCAGACTAAGGAGGCAATTTAGCCAAACCTTGGTAGTATCCAGCTTTTCAAGACCAACTTTTTCTTATCCAGGCTGATGGAGATCCAGCAGATTCTCACCATTTAGGGGCTGAGGGAGGGGAAACAGGATCTGTGTGTGTTTACACTTGGGCTCTTGCACAGAGATCACTGCTGTAGCTGTGAGTCAGTGTGCTGTCCCCTCCTGTATCACGTTGCTGGATGCTGTAGCAAAGCCAGGGCACAACAGCTGGAGTTTTTCTGCTGTCTCATGGTATGTCCACTGTCTGTGTTTCATGCCACCTGCCCGTGGCAGCCTTGGTCGAGACTGATGTTATGCCAGAAGTGCTGCACTGTCATGTTCACAGCTCTGCCTGGTTTTATTTCTGTCCTGGTTAGCAGTAGTTTTCTGTGCTCTGACTCAGTGGTCATCCTACAGATAATGTGGTAGCCTGGACAGACTGCTGGCTCCTGAGGTGTCCCGAGGCTCATACCCATATAACAGTAGCATGCAAGTGTGGATAATGAGGCATATCCTTTGGACCAGCAGTTCTTTTTTTCTCTGTGGGTTAGCAGGCATATAAGGAACCTCTTCAACTGCCTATTTTAATTTCCCAGGAGAAATATCTCACAACATTTTCTAGTTTTATAGTCTGACATACTGCAGTAATGAAGAGAGAAATGGCAAAAGTTTCCCACAATAGTTGTGTCATTAAAGAATTTGTTTTAGCCACAGAATAATAGACTAAAGTGTAATTGATGATTTCTTCTTGCCCTCCACCTTTGGAGTAAGACACCCTGGCTTACAGTTTCCCTGACAGTACAGGGAAGCTCCCTGTGGGTGTACTGCCAAAACTTTCCATCCAAATACATTGAATCCTGCAGAAGGGTGATTTAATCTCAGGAGCTCAAGAAACTCAAGCCTTTTAACTGGTTTTCTTAGGAGGGAGGATATGAGTGCAGGGCTCCAATATTCACTGCTGCAGTCAGGTTTGTTGCTGCACGACACATTAGGGGCTCAGGCATGCAGGGTATCAGTCTGTCTGGCTGCCAGAGCTTAGAGGGGGAACAGGTAACTTTGCCAGCCTAGCCCTGCTCACCCACAGCTCAGCTGGCAGTGACCAGAGCAGAACAGCTGATGTGGGCACAGCTCATAGCAAGACAGAGGTGTCACGAGCATCAAGCATGGGCTGTTTCTGACCTCCCACTCTTGTTCCTGCCTTCTGGCCCTGCATCACCTTCCCAGGTTCCCTTCCCTGTCACGTCTGTCCATATGCTTGCCTCTGTGATATATTGCTGTTACTGTGCTCCAAAACAGTGGGGTAAGATCACTGTGTCGGCTATATTTCTGTCACAGATGTGCTGGCCTTAGCGTTCATCAAATCCCAAAGTCAGCTAAACTCACTCAGCTAGAACAGCACACTGTTGTTAGCAGATGCATATTCATCAGGCCAATGGTTCTTTTTAATTTTCTTCCTTTCCTGCTTAGCTTCATTTTTGCTTATGAATTGTATTACACTTGCTTCCATTAACAGAAGATGTATTGCCTCTGTCAGACTCTGAGTAATAACTGAACTGCCCCAAAGTATCCACAGGGCCAATAGATCTGATGGCAGCACATAAAATAGACCAATGAGTACCATTGGCTTGAGATCCAGCAGGAGTGAGCAGCCAAACAGCACTTTGTGAGACAGTTGACCTGAAACACTGGTAGTGCTGCATTAGGCTCCAAGAAAGTTGTTTTCTAGCCTCAGTGGAAGGAGGGATGCTCTCTGAGTCTCCCAGGAGTGATTTAGCTCTGAGACCTTGTTCTTGTTTATTTGGACTTGGCTTTAGAGCAGCCAGTGTTGTGCTAAAGGATGGCATGGTGTAAAATCTGAAAAGCAGTGTCATATTTTACACCAAGATCTCCAAGTCTTGCAAGAAATAACACAATCCTAGAAAACTGGTTGCTCAGTTTACGGTAGGCACTGTCTGACAGCCAGCACAAACTCTAAATTGCCTTTCTGTGGTAATCTGGCTGTGCACAGCCCTGTAAACCTGATGGCAGATCTACAGTCAAATCCTGGCATCAGTTTTCACCCTCCGCATCACTGCTCCTGTCCTGTCTCATTCAAATACCTCCTCCCCGGTTTGCTGTTTGGCATGTGAGACTCTGCAGAGCAAATGGAGACTTTTCCTTGGAGTGATGTGGGTGGCTGTTCTGAAATTGGGGCTTATTTCATTTCCACTTGTTGCTGAACTCCCCTCCCTTTTCCTGTAGGTGTGTGTTTTGGTTTCAGGATGTGCTCTTCTCCCCTGCTTTATGCCCTTTTAGAAGATGAAGATTTCAAGCATAGTCACTGCTCTTAGCATTTCATTAATGCCCTTCCCCAGCATATCAGCACAGATTGTGTAGCTGACAGTGCCAGTAAGCCTGGCAAGGCACTGTTTGCCATGCAGGGCTGGCTGCAGCTCTCTGGGCAGAGGCCACAGCAGCTGGAGGACCAAACACTGCCACTGGGCAGCTCAGCCCTTGCAGCACATTTAAGAAGTGCAGAACACTGGGGAGCTGAGGGGTGTGTTCAGCTCCAGCTGTTGGGCTTGAAGCAAAGCAAGCAGCTGCCTAGTGCTTCCCCCCTCCCTGGGGAGGGTCTGCCCTGGGTGAGAGCACTGAATTCAGGCTGTTAAACATACAGTGAGCAGCTGGGTGATGAGCACTGATGAGTTATTAGACTCTAATTAGCTAAGCCAGGAAAATTGATCATCCAAGTGTTTCTTCTTAGTGGTTGGCTTGGGCAAGCTCCAGGTATCATGGCAGAACTGACGTTGTTTGGAGCACCCCAAATGCTTTTATTCCAGTAAATCCACGACTACTCTCTGGATGCTGGTGAGTCCATGCAGCATCCTGATGGGACCTGAGAAGTCTGATGTCTCACATGCTGACTGTGGGTTGCTGTGGGTTCTGTAAGCAAGTGTGTTGTCATATAGCAAGGCTTCATCTTCATCCAGTTCCTTGCTGGGTAGAAACATCTGACCTGGAAGATGTGTTTGCTCTAGGTTTTGCGTAGAATCCAAGTGAATTAATTCCTTCAGACCTTCCTTTTCTTATTATTAGTTTGTAGGTGTTTGAAACAGTTTTTTCCCATCCTGTTCTTCCCTCTGTTCTGTTGAATCCAAACAGGCTGTGCATTAGGGAATTGTTTGCAGCTGCAGCCCAGTAGCTTACTATGTCACAGCTCTTTAATTTGGAGGGGGCTGTACTTTGAGCTCTAAGTGCCAAGTTGATGGGCAATATTATAGTTATTTAATATTTATGGTGCGGGACAGCTGAGGGCTCCAGTTAGTTCAAGATTCTTGTGGACAGACTAGTGAGGATACCCAGCAGCAAGCAGAATCAAAGCCTCATTTTGTTGATAGAAAGAATAACTGTCCTTTTTGTCTCCTTCTGTAAGCTACATTTTCCATTCCTTGTGGAGTGTTATTACAGTTGTCAGAGGTGCATGCATTTATGTCAACAAATGCATTAAGAAACAGTTGTAATGCTGCGTTTGAGAGGATGTAAGTGGTGCCTTTGTTTAAATCAATTGCAAGAAGTGAGACCCTTTAGTAAGATCCTCCAAAAATGCATGACAAGGCTCCCTGGGACTGAGTGTCATTGCCAGGACTCTTTGGGAGAGAAGCAAAGAGAGAAGACTCCAAGGAAGCGGCAGACAGTTACAGGCACACTGGTAGCCCAGCCTAGACTTAAACCCCTGGGCAAGAGCATGATAAGAAAAAGAACTTGCTGGTTGAGATTGGTGTGGAGCTTTAAGCAAGTCCCATCTCTTCTTGTGGGAGCCTGTGTTCAGGGAAACAAGAATGACTGCACCTTGCAGAGAGAGATGGGATGCACACGAATCTCCACTCCTGTGTCAGATCATCTGTTAGCTGGATGAGAGAGACTATGTGCTGTCTGACTGCTCCTGGCACAGGGCAGGAGTCAATGGCAGGAAGGAGTCTGTTCTCCATTGATCCCCAGGCAGGAGGGCTTGTTCTGCCAGGTGCTGAGTGCCCTGACTCACCAGAGTACATTAAACTCTCACATGCATGTACAGAGACAGCATCTTTGTAACTAAGGATGGAAAAATTAATTTGATTTGCTCAATCTCTTCTGGTCAGGAATAAAGTGGTCATGTAGGCATAGTGGGACAGGGATGTAAGGGAAAGTTTGGAGGAGAGAGGGCCCTTTTGCTTAGACTGGCTGGTGCTTCAGAAGTAATCTTGCTGAATTTGCTGGAGTGTAAGCCAGTTTGGTTGCTTTGTTATAGTGCTAGTTTAATGAAATGCCTCTTCCAGGTGCCAGTAAAGGTAAGGAACTTACAAAGTTTTTTTGCAGCTGCTTCCAAACTCTTGGTATTGTTGTTAAGTGTTGCTTTCTCCTTGCTCATCATTGATGCTCTAGGTAAAGGCTTATAGGGCTGTGGTAGAAAACAAGAAATGTGATGTTTGAAAAGAAATGGTTTGCTGTCTCCTGTTTCAGGAGGGAGAGATCCATCCGAGTTCTTCGGCTGAAATCACTGTGATCTTTAAACCCCAAGAAGCCCGAGTCTATAAACAAGCAGCTCAGGTACAGTGCTCCTGCTTCGCTCACCCACAGTGAAGATGAGGTGCAAATGCTCTTCCAGCCCACTGGGCTCCTATGTAATTGTTGGGAAGGGTCTGTGGTCAGCAGGGCAGTGATGGCACATGTCCACTGTCCCTGTGGCTTCCAGGGGATCTCCTGTGCAAGGCTAGGGCTCAGGATGCCTGGGTTCTGGGTCACTGATCCTAGAAGAGGCCAAGCAGTGCAGGGATAAGTTTTCATGCCATGACTTTGCCAGCATTTCTCAAAGGCCAAAGAGCTACAGAGCAGAACAGCTTCAGTTGAATGAGCACTAAGCCCCTCTAGACATTGACCATGGTCCTTATATGAGGATCCATCATCAGGAAGGAGGAGCTGAGTTAGAAATGTGCTTCCTGATCCTGGATCACCTCCCACTGCCCAGATGCCACCAGACTGGAGGTGACTGAGCCCTGAAAATATCTGTGGAAGGACCACCCCTAGGCAGCACCTGCCTCTCTCCCTGTGGGAATTGTCACCTTGCGCCTCTGTCTATGGAGCATCCGTGTGGTGTTGCACTGTGCTTGCTGTGCTCAGCAGGGTGAGCACCTCTCTGGAAAGCAGAGTCCCAGCAGTCTGCTGGACAAGCTTTATGCTCGTCCTGTCTTCCAGAAGTGCTGTCAAATCCTTTTCTGGGAGCAGTTCTCATTGACCCACCCAAGTTACACTATCCCAGAGGTGATGGCTTTGCTGTGCTAGCACAGGGCAGGGAACACTCACAGTGCACAGTGTGGTTCAGGTTACCTTGTCCTTCCTCTCTGTCTCTGCAAAGTGTTTCTCAGGAGTGGGAGATGGTTGTCAGAACTCCATCCAGGAAATATTCTGGTTTTGCCCATCTAAGAGGAAGAGGTCTGAGGCCCATGGTCCTCCAGCAGCCAGGCTCCCATTCTGGAGGGTACTGTAATCCCTAACTCAGCCACTGTTGCTTTCCTTCCAAGTGACGGATACAAATGTCACAGAACAGCTTTTTATTTAGGCAGTTTTTATTTAGACAGGGTTTACTCGGCAAATGCCATCTACAGTAATTACTCAGGGCTTGTGCTAACAGACTGTCTTCCTGCCACCAGCTGCAGTTGTTAGAGCTGTGGAAGGAAAGGATGGATTTACAAGTTGCTCCCAAGGGATTCCTTTCTCAGGGGCTGTGCTCTTGGCTCTGGGATTTTGGATCTGGTGGTGGGGGTGTCCAGCACTTTGCTGCAGGGATCTCTGGGGGTTGAACCAGGAGGGATTCTTCATGACAGAGACATAGGGAAACTACCTGAATGCAAGCCTTGAGCTGGTCTGGGAGTTAGAGGAACCAGAGCTGGGCAAATGATGTGTGTTGAGAAAGAGGAGCCTGCTCCTGAAGGACCCTGCTGGGCGGAGAGGAGAGCTTGACTCTTCCACTGGCCCCTCAGAAGAGGATCTCAAGGAGGTCATTTAAATGATGCACCTCTCCCCCATTCCTTACAGACCAGAGCTGATCCAGTGGACAGGGTGGAAATTGTCCCAGTCATGGTCCCTGGGTCCAAAGGGAACTGAAAGAAGAAAACAGCCATCTTTGACTGGGAAGTTGTTAAGTTTTGCTTCTTGATCCCTTCAACAAGTGTGACTGCTTTCCTCAGTCATTTGCCTGCCAGTCCCAAACCCCTCGGGATGAGGATTTGCAGACAGTGTGTGCCCCTTACTGGGGATATCTGGAAGCTTTTTCCCAGTGCAGCACTGTGATACGAGTGGCTGCATCTCCTGTCCCACTGGAAAATGGCTTTGCTGGCATCCACTTGTATTGCAGATCCCTCCATAAATTGCTTGGCAGATGCTTCTGGATCAGGTGATTTACAAAACTGATCAGGTCTGGGCAATGGGCAACACCAGCAGTGAAGAAGTTGGAAATTTATTCTTGGCAAATATTGGAGCTCCAAATTAATTTAGTTAGTCAAAAATCCCAAATGATGGTCACTCCTTTACTTCTTCATGTCCTGCATCATGTGAAACTGTGGATCTCTGTTTATTGATAGAGTCAGATGAGAATCACATTCAAAGCCAGTCACAAAACAACAGGGACACTCTGTGAACAAGATGCTGAGTGCCAGAAAACAGCAGAAGTTGAGGACTTTGGTAACAAAGTCCTGTGCTGTTGGGCCACCTACACCCTGATTTATTTACAAGCCAGGCAGCAATGCCAAACCTTTTGTGAGCTTTATGCTTTCAGCTCCTCTGAGTGCATGGGAAGGAAATCAGAGATTGTTTTAAACTCAGAATTGCTATTCCCGGGTGAAAACTGGTGGCTCAATTTGAAACCAGCCCAAGGGGTGGATTAAAAATTGGAAGCCAGCCCCAAGACATATCTCCTGAGAGAAGAGAAGGGTCCTATATCTTTCTGCTGGAGCATTAAGAACTGGTCCCATGCAGCTCAGTGTCAGGGACTAGCATTGAGGCAGCCTGGAAAATGCAAGGTGTTACCTTGGGATTTGTAGTGAAACAGCAATCTCTCCCCAGGCTGTGAGACCAGGCTGCCCCTGCACCTCACAGGGGAAGGCCTTAGGTTCCAACTCCGCTTCAGCTTTGAGGACCTGGACATCAGGAAGGTTTTGTTGGAGTAGCCCACAGCTATAAGGTAAGCAGCAGGGTTGGGGTGGATTCTGATGGCTCCTGGGGCAGCAGCGAGTCTTGTGGACCTTTGGAATTTCTGGCAACTTGGACAGTTATGAGCAGAGAATATTTGACATGCTAGTCAAATTTGGGGGGTTTCACAGAATATAGATAGATCCTTTTGCAGGGGTCTGAAAGGTCGGTCTGTTGTTCATGAAACCCCAATCCCTGCTTTTTGACACCCTTGGAGATCAGCTGGGAGGCTTCCTGCAAAATAATCCCTTCGCATATGAAAGCAGCACTGGGTCAAGAAGCTGAGTGTTCAGAGGCTTTTGTTCCAGCCTCTGCTGCAAGACACCTTTGTGCTCAGGCTGTTCAAAAGCATCTGGAACAAACCAACTGCATTTGAGCTTGAGTCCAGGGCAGTTTTTAGTCAAGTGCCTCCTGCCTATTCCTGGGAGTTGGAGAGCTAGGGAGTGCTTTCCCTTGGTGACCAGTTTCTCATCACGCTTCAGCCTTGGTGCACCTCTGGTTCTAGAAAGAGCAAAGTGTTTCTGGGAAGGAAGCAAAGGAATTTTCTACCTATTTGCCTCCACCCCAGTGGTGTCAAGTCTGCAAAAAAATAAAAATAAAAAATAACAAAGAGCAATGGAAAGAGGTAGAAAATGAGGCACTACATCATGCCAGACACTTTTCAAAAGCTTGGCTGTGGCAGGGAAGGATGCACTGAGTTGTTTTCTTACCAAAAGATTGTGCTCTCTATGCATTTTTGATGCTGATACCTTATTGTTTCTCCCTATCAATTTATTATTTTCATTACATGAGAAAAGGTGAATGAGTAGATGATACTGTTAGTGCTGTGCTAAGCAGCTAGACTGCAGGTAAACTTCAGCTGAGTGTAAGATCCCCCAAGTGCTAGTTGTAATGAAGGTGTAAAATGCATGAGAGGAGAGAGCAGTTTTCAGGTTTCATGGCAGAACTGGAATACAGGGATATTTTCAACAGCAACTACAAAGTTAGAAAATGAGGGACATCCCTCTGCTTCTGCCTCAGTTGCTCTGATGGGTTTTGCAAGGCCAATAATTAGGGAAAGGAATTCCAAAGCATATGGATAAGTCCATGGCAATGGCAGGGTTTCCCCTGCAGCAGTCAGGACCATGAGAGCTTTGCTGTGGGTGGGTTTGTCATGCCTGACTGCAGCTGATGCTCCTGGTAGATGGGAGCGTTTCTTGCCTGACACGAGAAGCGCTGGATCTCATCAAGTGCTGTGAGATTGTGTCACTTGTTGGAGACAGTAGATCTCTTGAGTGTTCAACAAAATACTGCTTTCCTCCAAATTTGTATTTTCTTCTAAATCATGGTGAATTCGTAAGGGATGGCTGTGAAAGTTGTGAGAGAGCTACTCTTTGGAATAGGTGGAGCTGGTGTGCAGCTCACACTCATCCTTTCTTGGCATGTCTGAGTGAGAAAAGACTAAGAAACTATCAGATTGAAGAAAAAACACAATAACCCAAAGTTATAGCAGAGCTGGGGAGAGCTTCTGGAGCTGGTGATAACACTGTCCTGAGGTGTCTTCTACATGCAATAAACTGAATGCAATGGGAGCTGAGTGTGTCCTGCCCTCAGTGGGGTTGGGCACACCTGGAGCAGCAACAGCTCTGTGGTGATTCACTAGTAATGCTGCAATGCCCTGCCTTGCTCTTAGGGCTGGCTCAGAATGAACTTGGTGATGCTGAGCAACTCCTCTATGCTGCAAGTTGCAGTGGACTGCTCCATGTCAGTAGGATAACCCCAGCATGACTCTGGTTATGTGAAGTTAGCACTGCTTTGCATGAAAAACCCAAAGACAGAACTTGTCCTGATGTATTTTTTTTTACTTCTGCCTAGCACAAGGCATCTTCTGTCTTTTACACGTTTTAATTGTTTAATTAGAAAGCAACTCAGCCTTCTGTAAGAAAGGAAGATTCCCCATATATTTCCATTTTGCTTTCTTACTGCTGCAGGTGATCCTGTTTAACAAAGGACCTCTTGAGGCTGCTTCCAGCCTGGTCCCTCCAACTACAGCCGTGGGTTCGTACCTTTATCCCCCAGGAGGGCCTCATTGCACCGGATGGGGTCCAGGCCATCCAGATCTCTTTCAGTTCCACCGTCCTGGGGGAGTTCAAGGAGGAATTCTGGTTCAGTGTGACTGGATCTCCTAAGCCTGTGACCTTGGCTATCAGGTGAGGAGGGCTTTGGGAGCTTGGTGGGCATATCTGTAGATGTCTCTGGGTAATCATCTCCCACCTACCTTATTTTGTGGTGGAGCAGAGAAGAAAAAAAGATGTTTTATGAGGTCTTAGTCTTGGCTCTGATCCTGCATCCCCTTAGTGTGGGGATGCCTGCTGCTCTGTGTAGGTACCCAGGAGCCAGAGTGACTCCTTCATACAGGGATCTCCCTCCACCTTGGGCCATGGCAGGCAGTGGGATGGTATTAGCTTTGGGCAGTAGTTGGTCTGGGATATCCCACCTGAACACTCAGCAAGGCTCCCAGGGCCTTGGAGATGGGCCAGCCTGGGCAATTCTGTGCCAGAATCACTGTTTTTAAAATTCTGTGTTAATAATCCATTTCAAATGGGCAGCAGCAGCCTCACATCATCTCTCATGCTGATGCATGGGGACAAGCTGTCCTCCCAGCTCTTGTGCAGTGAGTACTCCTGTACCTCCATTGCACAGCCAGGAAAGGGCTGATGTGGGAGACAGGGAGCTCTGCAGCAAGCACTGTCACAAGGACTTGGGCATCATCCCATGGGCTGGTGCCATTGGAAAAGATAATCCTCACCCAGCAAAGGGGAAAGGGGGGAAAAAAAGGTGATGATAGGAGAGGCAAAGCTCAGTTCTCAGGATGATGGCAGCATGAGGGCTTGTCCCAGCTAGTCTGATCCATAGGATGGTGGAATAACGTGATGGAGGCAGGAAAGCTGGTGCTGGGTGTTCTGGAGCTTTGGAGCTGTCTGTGTCTGGGCTGCTGCTGTTGGGAGGCACTGGATTAAGGCAGTAAAGAAATGAAAGGAATCTGCAGTCGATTTTACCAATAAGATAAGGAAAATGGATAAAAAAGAACAAGAAGGTTATTACTTTGCAAGAGAAGAGTGGTGAGTAGGTCTGACCTCAGTAGAGAAACAATTATGCTGGCTTGGTGTTTGGAGGGAAAGTGCTGCTTTTTTTTTTTTTTTTTTTTTTTTTGGAAATCAAGAGGGAACATTTCACAATCAAATAATTTATTCTCCTCTGTCCCTCCCCCAAACTGGTCACGGGATGCTATTGCATAAGCAGCTTTCTCCTTGAGCAAGGGCAGGTTTCACTTACTGAGATGTGTAGAGCAGAGCTGGTAGCAGTCCTGTGAATAAAATAGAGGGCACAGTTCACTGTGGTCCTTGATCTCTAACTAAAAGACAGAGTGGGCATTGACTGGCAACAACCATTCATGAGTTTTGTGCAGCATCAAGTGCTGATTTCAGTGGATGTTGGTGACTTGTGAGGTTTGGAACCTGTCTGCTGAAATTAAGGACAGGCAAGGCAGTGTGATGAATTCAGGACACCAATGTTTGGTTGCTTAAACCATCGCTCTTGGCTATGTCAGCTGGTGCACTGGTGACAAGCTGGTCCTTTCCTCTAAGATTCATCTGTCCACTGTATAGAACTGTTGCTGCCTTTTCAGTGGATGGTTGGGGCTCCTCTGGATTCATGCCTCAAAATCCTGCATGTAATGATTGTGTGGGTCAAGATCTCCTGAGAGAGATCCTCCACGCAAATACCAGTTCCAGCTAAGAAACAGCAAAGCAGGAAACCTGTGGCTGGGAAGGCTAATTACAGTGAATCCACCTTTGTGGGGACACCTCTGTGTCCATCACATCATAGATGGGGAAACTGAGGCACAGAGCCATCTCTGGGTGTGTTTTCAGGGTCCTTCAGCAGGCCAGCAGCAACTTATGGGCATGCCCTACCTGCCTGGGTGTGTTTTCAGGGTCCTTCAGCATGCCAGCAGCAACTTAGGGGCATGCCCTACCTGACAGGGTGCCCTAAGGCCCATCAGCAGCTGTTGGCTGCTGACCATACTGCTTTAGCTGCCTCCTGTCCACATGGATGCTGTGCTGAGCACAGGGTGGCGAGTTGATTTGAAACCCACAGTGGCTCTGTGGGTGTGTACCTAACCCTCTACTTCAGTGAAGTCTCCTTTGGTGAGTGTGCCCTGGGCTTGGACCACAGTGTGAGAGGTCTGCGTGTTGCCACCATGGAGCACTTGAACATAAGAGCATCTGTCACTTGTGTTGCTCTACAACAGCCTCTTCAGGGTGTTAACACCAGGGCTGCTGGTGGCTTTGGCAGCATTTTGCCATCATGAGATCAATTTGGGCCAAAGGAATAGAAAGTCAGTATTTTCAAATGTCCCTCATAGTCTGTTCTGCTCCAACCTCCCAATGCTTAACAGCAGAACAACTGTGAAAGTCCTTGTCCCGGGCAGGCCCAGGGGATGAGACTGCAGAGAAGGGAGCTTAAGCCACATGCCAGCCTGCAGCTGCTCTGGGCACATATTCTTGTTGCACGGCAAGAACACCATTTTCCCACCTGACTTTTAGCATGGAATGTTAGTTACTGCCATGAGGGTACCTCATTATCCTCAACCAGGTAAGATGCCCCAGCAATAGCTCTGCCTCAGGCACCTGTGTTCTCAGGGTTTTGTCTTCTTCATCACCAAAAACCCAGCTCTGCTGACAGAGCCAGTGGCTGAGCATCCAGAGCGTCACCATTGAAATGCAGATTCCAGTTCTCCATCTCAGGCTCACAAAAGGCATTTTACTGAGATGATCTACAGTTTAAATGTGAAATCAATTGTGGATTGATTGAAGGGCCATTATCATTCTGCACCCAGGATGCTTCTATGTTTTCATGCTGTTCATGGACTTTTTAAGAAAACTCATTACCTTTCCTGAGCTACTTCCTCCCCTCCCTGCATCACCGCTGAGCCACTTCTTAGTTTCCTTTTGAATAAATGAACCAACAAGAAAGGCACCAGGCAGAAATATGGTTCTGTAATAGGAGATTCATTCTGCTTAATCTAATTTCATTCCTAAAGCCTCTTCAGCTGAAGGCAGACGTTGTATCTTTGCTTTTTTTAAACTATGCTGCTGACTATTGTTTACATCTGGTGATCTCAGTCTTGTTTGGGATTGTGACATCTGTGTTTGTCCTTTTTGTGCCCCTCCTGCCTCCCTGCTGGAGTCACTGCTGGAACTGGTAGTGGTCACTGTTCATGGGCACGGAGAAGCTCTTGGCTGTGCCTGCAGTTAGTTTTCCTCCCCATCTGTGTTCCAATGACACTAGGTTAGCAGGCCCTGGGAGATGTCTTCTCCCTGCAGAGCTGGTCAGCCAAGCCACATGTCCACTGCAGAGCAGGTTGTGGGCTGGTGTCCTGACTTTGCAGAACATCCCCACCAGGTGTGGCTGTATCCCTGGCTTTCCATTTTGGGACACCAATCTCAGAGCTAAAATGGCCTCAACCCTTGCAGGCAACAGTCACAGCCAGTGTGCAGTGTGGGTGTGATGTCCCCACTGGTTGGGTAAGATGAAATGTGGTTCCTAATTGCTGATCTCTGAGAAAGCCTCGGGTCTGTCTGCCTCCAGTGAAGTGAGCTGTGATTTGTCATGTGCTCAGTCTGGTTGCCCAAACCAGGAGATGCCTTAAGGATCCTGCCAGAGAAGCTGCACTGAGGTGCCTTGCATCATGTTCTAGTTCCCAGTTCCATCCTCCCTTTCGTTTACTGTAGCTACTCCTCAATGACAACTCACTGCTTTTGTATCTCGAAAGTGGTGTGAGTGTTGGCGGAGTTAACAGGGAATTTTATGGCTTGAATGTTCAGAGTGAATGATTGGTCTTGGTGCACATTCAGCAGTGAGAAATAGCTGGTGCTAGTTCAGGGCAGGTGAGAGAGCTCCTCCCCATTAGAGAGAGAAACCCATGGCTAAGAGTGAGCATTCACAAGGCTGCAATCTGGGATCAGCATCAAAGGGAACTAAGTGACGATTAATTCCTCACTGAGCTGCTCAATGAGCTGTAGTTCAGATAACAAGGAGCTAAACTCCAAGCACAGTTTTATCCTACCAGGATATTCACCCTAGGAATCATGAGATAATTGGTGCCTAAATGGATATTTATGTCATTTTCCTAGGCTTCCCCCCCCCCAACTTTGTCCTGTCATATGATTAACACCTCCTTGGTGCCCATGACTTTCAACCTGCGAGTTCCTGAGGATGGC